CCCCTACCACCCTGCGGGCCCAGCCAGGAGCCTCTGGCTCTCCCATAGCCCTCTGTGCCCCCAGCCCTGTGCCCAGCTCCCCATCCCTCCTCCCCCTTTTCCTTCTAAGAGAGGCCTCAGGAAAGCACTCCAGGCCCGGGGCCCAGCCTAAGCAAAGGCTGGGAGGTTCCAAGGCTTTCGTCAGCTGGGGCGCCCTCACCTCAGGCTCCTCATCTTCGATCTCGACAACTGGGGCCCCCTTCCCTGGATTCCTCAGTTTGTCAAGAAGATCTAGGATCAGGCTTCTATTTAGCCTGGGCTGGGACACCAGTTGATGCTGGAGAGGGGGAGGACGGTGTCAGCAGACAGAAGGCTGGTATTGGGGAGAGGCTGGGACACGGGCTCAAGAACTTAAGGTAATCTGGGGGGGGAGGCAACTGAGGAAGAAGGCAGGGAACTCTGGGAAACTGAGGCTGGGGGATTTTGAGGGGTTGGAAAGGATTAGAAGAGTCTAGGGTTCCCAGCAGGGGCCCTTGGAGAATCCCACAGGTACCTTAGCGGGGGAAAGGGGTCCCCGTTGAATTCCAGAGTATACCCAGGACTGGGTCTGGAGGCCCCTGGGAATCTGTGAGTTTTAGCAACTCAGGGTATCTTGGCAAAAGGTCTAGGGTACATTTTGGAGAGTTTTGGAGAGGTCCTGGGGAATTCTGGGGGTGAGTTTGGGAAGGGCTTTTCAGGGAAGGGAGGGGAAGTTTACACTGAGCATCTTGGTGGCACCGGGTCGTTTCTTGGGGTTCTTAGTGAGGGTGACTTTGACAAAGTTGTGGAAGGCAGCCGACCTTAGGAGGAAGAAGTTCTGGGGTGAGGAAGCCAGAGACTCTCCCATCAGACCGTGGTTTCTGGCTCTGCCCTCCCTGGCCCTCCCTCACCCTCTCCCCTCTCCTACCATTTGCCTTTTTCTTTTAGCCTGGGGGGCTGGTAACCACTCTTCGACATGAGGAAGAGAACTCTGGAAGAGGAAGGAGAGGACACAGTGTTCAGACTCTCAATGACTCGGGGGGTCCCCCAAAGCACGGAGGTCACCAGGGAGCAAAGCAAGGGACAGGACAAGAACAAGGTTTAGGTTTTACAGTGCACTGGGATGTCCCTTCCAGGGGACTCTGCTGATCACAGGACAGAACTACCGCAGTTATGAAGAGAGGCTCGGGGAATCCCTGCTGCGGGGGTGGAGGGCTGAAGGGGGTGGAGCCCTCCCGGTGTGGAGGGTTGAAGGAAAGGCTTTCTGGGTTGAGAGGCTCCTTGGGGCTCTGAGATGGAGCTCGGAGGAAGGGGCGTCCCCTGTAGGGGGCCTCGGTGTGGGGCAGCAGGCTGGGGGATGGCACTCAGGGTCAGGGCGGGGCGGGGCCTCTGGGCCCAGGGGGACTTGCCTACCTGAGAGGGTGCACGTCAAAGAGCGGTGGCTGTAGCTCGGCTAGTTCAATGGCAGTGATGCCCAGGGACCAGACGTCACACAGCTCGTTATATCCCCCCTTCAGGGCCACGGCTGCCACTTCGGGAGCCATCCTGGGGGCAGAGACCCTCAGAAAGCCAGCGGTGACACAAGGTGGGGAAGGGGAATACTCCTTGGTATGGGGGTGGGTGCGGGAGAGAGACAGACAAGGAGAATGGGGCATGGAGAGAACCAGATGCGGAAAGAAACATCAAGGTGAAGAGACAAACAGAAATAGAGACACAAAAAAGTCAAGACAGAAGGATCAGAATAAAAACCAATACAAAGAGGGGCGCCTGGGTGGCTCAGTCGGCTAAGCAACCGACTTCAGCTCAGGTCACGATCTCATGGTTCACGGGTCTGGGTTCGAGCCCCGCGTCTGGCTCTGCGCTGACAGCTCAGAGCCTGGAGCCTGCTTCCGATCCTGTGTCTCCCTCTCTCTCTGCCCCTCCCCTGCTCATGCTTTCTCTCTTTCTCCCTCTCTCAAAAGTAAATAAAAACATTTTTAAAAATTAATACCAAGAGACCTAAGTAAATGTAAAACTCGAGAGAGAGCCAAAAAGAAAACAGAATGTTCAACAGAAAAAGGCAGAGGCAGGGAAAGGGGCCGGGAAGGAGATTCCCAGTGATGCAGGTGAGGAAAACCACTGCCCCCACTCCATCCCCAGCTACCCGCCAGGCATCCCTCACCAGTAGGGCGTCCCAATGAAAGAGAGGCGTCGGGCCAGTGTTGCCCCAATCTGGGCCGAGATACCAAAGTCAGCTGGAGGCAGAGAGAGACATGGTGACCTGGGGTCCCCTATCCCCTTGGTCCCCAGCCAGACTCCCCCAACGCCCACCAATCACACTCACCCAGTCTGACCTCCCCAGCATCATTGATGAGGATGTTGGCTCCCTGGGGGGGGAGGAGGGAAATTAGAGGCTGTCGGAGACACCGCCCCCAACCCATGCTGCCTCCATCCCCTGGCCCTTCCCAACTGCCCAGCTCAACACCACCCTGAGCCCGCCAAACACCACTTCCGTCTCCTGGGCCCCCCACCCACAAGGCCACTTTTCTGCCCCTAGACTACCTTGATGTCCCGGTGTATCTTCTTCTGTGAGTGCAGATAGGCAAGTCCCTGGGGAAGAGAGTGGACATGGGGGCTATGAGAGTCCGGGGCTGGAACAGGGCCCAACCCGACCCAGGCCCACCAGACTTCTCCTCACCTGGAGCACTTCCCGGCAGACATAGCTAATCTGGAGCTCTGACAGGGGGCCTGTCACTGCAAACATCACACCCGTGGCGTTGGGTGGGAACCAGGACACCTGGGAGCCCCTGGCCCCCACCCACACTGGCTGAGATGATGCCACGTGGGGAGGGAAAGCGTGTAGGATAAGTGGGAGGGGGAGACGGAGGGACGTCCCCGGGCAACGCAGGGAACATGAGGCTGGAGGGAGACAGACTCATTAAACGGATATTTACTGTGTCTACTGGGTACCAGGCACTGTGTTGGGGCACTGGGGAGACAGCTGTGGACAAGAGACAGACATCCCTGCCCTTGTGGTGAGAACATTCCGGGGAGACAACAAACAAACAAGATGGGTAAAGCATAGCACATGAGATGCTAATAAATCGTAAGAAAAAAAAAATAAAGCAAGAAAGAACAACAGGAAATATGTGTGGGAAGGGGTATGACATTTTACAGGGTGGTCGGTGAAGTCTACTCTACTCTGAGAAGGTGACGGGGTGAAGACGTGATCAGTCCAGCTTGGAGGGGAACAGGAGAGCAGGTGCAAAGGCGTAGAGGTGGGAGAATGCCTGGTGGGTTTGGAAAGCAGCAAGTGGGTGGAGCAGAGTGGGGGAGGGAGAGAAGTGGTAGGAGGCGAAGTCTGGCAGCTTGGGTGCAGGTGGGGGTCACACGGGGGAGCTTGGGCTTCTCTTTGGAGGGAAATGAAAGCCCAGGGGGGGCTCTGAGCAGGGG